GCAAATCGTGCACCCTTAATCTGGAAGCTTGTCATAAACTGTAAACTGCACAACGTTGCATGGATAGATATATGCTGGAAATAAAAAGAAATGATAGGAGGACCAGTGAATGAATTAAAGCACATACAAGAGTCTGTGGTGTCATTGTTAGGCAAAGAATTTAAAGTGACAATGGACAGGGCATGTTGCAAGAGGAACTGCCCGTCGCTGGACCAGATAGGCATTAGACTCGGTTCCAAGAAGGTGTAAACGGCCTTTTGGATCCTCCAGATCGATGGCAGGATGAGTTAAAGAAGTTCGTCGGATGAAAATAGATAAACAAAGTCCAAAAGTTTATTGCAAAGTCATAGAGAGGCCTTAATTATGCAGTAAACTGAAAAGGGCTGATGTGTTTTTGTTAATTATTTATACATTAATTAATATGAATGAATTTGCATAGATGAACAGTCTTTCAAGGTTTAATGACTAAAGTAAACGCAAATGTCGTCTGCTTTTCGGTAGTCCGATACCAGAGTAACAAAAGGAAAAAATTTCAACAACTTTCAAAGAACAATAATCACTGTTCTGACCAGGTTGACCCTATGCTGAGTTCAGTCTTGTTTCGTTCAGTTAATGTAAGTACCAATGCTTTTAGAATAGAGTAGGTCTGGAATTGGCAGGAAAAACGCGCAACATCGTTAGAATTCTTCAGCGGAGCCTCCTTTACCCATTTTTCTGACTTCATGACTTGTCTTCAAAGCTGTTGTAGAGCCTGAGATGAATGCGCTTCAATGTGCTTCATCACCCTAACGTGTTTTCTCATTCTAGATTCGTTGGTTGTGTTCCATATCATTGGTAAAAGTGATATTTTAAACCAAGTGTTTACCAGTTATACGGAGAATGCCAAACGACATGTTAAGCAACTGATGTTATGATCGATGAACGTAAAATGAATGAGCATTAACTGTTGAATAGCGCTGAGTAATATGGATGAAATGCAGCTAGAAACATTCAGACGGTTTACTGCGTTATTAATTGGTTTCTTTAATTATTTCGTAAGCATTTTATGGTCGTATTCAAAATATGGTACTTGAAATACGGTAGTAATTGTAATTAAGCTGGTTTACACCATTTTTTATGTCAAGATATCAGATGACGAAGACGACACCCATCCAAATATTGACACTCCGTCGTTGTTTCGTTGGCGGCATCAGGCGCGCTTGGAACGAATGGCGGAACTGCAGAAAATCAAGAAAGAAGCGGTGCAGAAACTGACAGATTACCAACAGAAGATGAACGACATCAAGAAGAAAATCGCCGACAGTTCAACGTCCGATGTATCTTCCTTACAGGTGCTGTTTATTGCCTCGTCGTTTTCGATTGTGCTTATTTAAGGCAGAGAGAATGCGCCTGGAAGCGGAAATGAAGGAAATCGAGAACCAGGAGGTAGAGTGGAGAAAAAAAGAAGAGGAAATAGAAAAGAAAGAGAGAGTACAGCAGATCATCTCAGCTCCATCAGCAGTCTTTGAGCGTATCTGTTTCAGCTTCAGCCGTGGAACGTGGACACGATAAGTCGAGATGGGTTCAGCAAGAGTCGCATTAACAAAGTGCAGCCTCTGCCAAAAGAAGAAAACCTCACCGAGGAGGAAAAGGAAGAAAAAATGGTATTCTGTCTAAATTATCGCAGTCAAGGATTAAAGTGCAAATTTCACTTTAGGGTAGATAAACTAAAAATTCGTCAGTTAATTTACGCGTATGCTTTGAAAATCATTCATAGGCAGCGAAAACTTATAAATAGCGATAAAGATAATGAATGCATAAATCAATACATAGTTCAGCGATGTCGTGCCTGTTCAGACTCAGTGATGATATGACATGCAGATGTTTGTCTCGTCTTCACGATTTATATATTGTATTAGAGGTTTATTTGAGATTATTCTTACCGATGTACTGTCTATATTGTTGCTGAATAATATTATTTTTGTGTTTGATAACAGGCGCAGAATCGTATTTTTCACTTACGGTTACATTTTGTACTGATTTTTTGTCAGTTATCAACCGGGCGTAAGCGAACTGCAGCCGTATAGCGCGCATATCATACAACGCGCATGACGGTATGTCTCATTCGCTGTGGCATGACGGCACCAAAACACCAGGCTGTCCTTATTGTTATCAGGTCAGCGACTTGTTACCCGTTTTTCACCTCGTTGCACCAATTCACGATACGGTAAATTTTTCAAGGGAAATAGCGGTTATCAAGAGAGAATTTTCACCACACGTTTAGTTTAAACCCGGCATTCAAAGGTGCAAGGCATATTATTAACCCATTGCGCCACTACCCCTCCCTCAATCCGCCGATATGGAAGTTCTGTGAATAGGCTGTGTGTGATTCTAGTAAGAGCCTGATCCCATACCAGCTTTTGTTCATGAATTCGCTAGATTAAATGACCCAAATCTCATTTATCGGGCTTAAGAAATTCCTTTTTTTCACAATATATTCTGATAGCGTGATTCCGTAGTGTAATCGTTGTTTTTGTACAGAATGTTCGACAAGTGCCAAATACTTTTTAGGTTTTTCTTACGAGATTTAACATTCTTTGTATTTCCTTTCTCTTATGAAGTCTCATTTTGCTTACTGGTTAGATTAAAATCTGTTTTTTGTTAATCTCTGTTATGCGAAAACGTGATTTTATGCTAAAAATGTAAAATTGGCCATGTAATCTCACAGTAGACTTTTGTTATGCCCGTATTGTTTTTTATTATTATTTTAGACTGGCTTATGTATATTTATTTCTTTAAAAGTGGGTCAGTTTTCTAAACCGTTGTGTCTTTTTATGTCACAGTTCATGCGAGTGAGAACAAAGCTTTTAATTTAGGTTATCAATGTATAACCTTGAAATTGACAAATATTTTTTTCTACCATGTTTGTTGTTGCCTAAAAGTTTCGTTGTAAATGCACATTTTTAGCGGAAGTTTGTGGAGGAGAACCGTTCACTGATAAAGCAGTACGGGATGCTTCAGAGGTCAGAAGACACGAAGCAGTTCTTGTTGGAACACCCACACCTGTGCTCTGAACACACCGCGAATTGTTTGGTAATCGATTGTTTGAACTACGAAATCGAAGGGGTATGTCAACGTAGCAGTTTGCAGTCTGTAGATTTTTACATTTACGTTCACCTTTCAGAAACATGAGCTCATGGAACACGTCGCCCATCAGCTGGTCATTATGCAGTACTTGTTGGAACTTGCCACACAGCTGAATGTCGACCCAAAGGCATCGCAGTTGATTTCTTCATTCTTTTCCAAGTTAGTCCACTCACTATACCCAACATTATTATTACTTTTTCGAATGGGATTAGGGGAATATATCATAGGTCGCTGCAGAAGTTGGCATGTGGATGTCAGGGTCGAAAGGTGTTTATTTCTTGTCAGATAGCATCAGGAACTTTAATGAACAGTAAGCTCCATCTTGTGAGCGAGTGAGTTTAAGATAATATGAATTGACCTGAATTCGACGAAAGCAGGTAGCATGGAGAACCGTAAAATAGCAACTGTCCGACCTTCAATACACAGTGTAATCCATATCAGAGGTATTACCGATATTCACCAAGAAGCTACGATGCGGCACAAAGGGCTACGGAATGCTACTTCTTTTGTTAGCTAGTGCTGTAGCTCTTGAGGGCTGTATATTAAGCACTAAAGTGTAATGTCAAGTAATATTGTTGAATTGAAAAAATCAGTTCATTGGAGGACAAGGAACTGAACTCAAAAATTAAGCCACATGTCAAAGGTTCAAAGTTGGTATGCTAAATGTTTTATGACTTTATAGGCGTGGCGTGTAGTGTTCTTTGAACTTTTTTGATAAATGCGAGACATCAGAATCGGATAACGAGGAATAGTAAAGTACAACGAGAGGGATAGTATTGTATCAGAACCTGATAAAGTTACTCTCGGATCATGTCATCTGAATATTGGGCTGATTATGAACCTAAGATCTGACATGGTATAACGAAACAGAAGTTTTGAATTGTTGTTCTCTGTATACCAAAACTCACGGTATGACAGGCAAGGTACGGCAGTTGTACTCTTCCTACGTTTGAAGTATTGATATCAATCCTAAAGCGGGCGAGAATGGAAACACTGTAGTTGAAGTGGTAGTGAGGTTGGCAGGCCTGGTTCGCTTCGAAGTAAAATTTATGTTAAAAAAACATTCTAATTTTAGACGAACTAATGGATGTATAGCCACCGTCCATTTATATCCTTGAAGAAAGCATTGTCTAAGCTATACCACCCCGTTAAATTTAAGCTGAAGATAACATGTTGGGTTTAGGATTTGAACTGTCAGAAACGAGTAGATGGCCAAGCTAAACAAGAATGTCCTTTAAAGCCGTAGTTCATTTCAGTAGAAATGTCAGATAGTCCGTTTTGACAAGTTCGTTGAACGTCGATTGGATAGACGTACACAAAGGAACTTTAGATTACTAATGATGACAATAGCGGAACCTAATGTCTCAGTTATTTAGGATCTTTGTATATGGTAAGAAGTCAGTTTTTAACAGTTTGGAACTCTATCCCTTATATTTTCAAGTTTCGTGCTTGCAGAAGTTTTATTTTATGAATTTTATGGTTCTCATTTATGTGCAGGTGGAAGGGCATATTATCGGGTTGGTACTCGAAATATGCTGCCATTGACTGCGAGGTACTGACTGAATTCTTGCGCTCTAATATCTGAGCTGTCTGAATTTTATCTCTTTACTTTCCGTATACGAAGCAAAGCTCCCAGCTTTTTAGAATTTGAGAAAACAGTTTTAAGTTACATTTTTCGTATAAGGGCTTTGTTCCTTTGCTGGCATGTAAAATTTTGTACACGAAGGATTAAAGCCAGGATTAACGTTTACTGTAAGTTTAGGCAGAGTACTATGAAATTTAATGATAATGTAAATAATGCTTATTACTGTAGACAGTTGTATTAAATAAAAACAGATTTGTCAAGCCACAATGTCTGTGTTGCCGCGCAACTGAAATTTTAATTCGTGTCTTGAGGTTGTGTTTTCCTTAATTTGGGGATATTGCTTTACATGTCTGTGCCTTTCTGAGTTACTGTTGCATGTGCTTTCTCCTTATGCTTATTGCCAAACGTTTAGGCTCAAGAAGGCGGATAAGCCGTATCACGACATGTTCGAGGACGAACTTAACAGTTTTAAGAGCCGAGTGGTCGCCCGTGCCAAGCAGAAGTTGGAACAAGCGACACACGAGTACGAGGAAGAGGAAAAGAAAAAGCGTCTTGGTCCTGGCGGATTGGATCCAGTTGAAGTTTTTGAATCGCTACCGCCGGTAACAGGATATTAATTACTGTATTGCGCTAAAGAGTACGCACAGTTCGATTTAGCTGGCGGTTTACATTGCGCTATTCTTTCGCCCTTGTTCTCGAAGGTTCAATGGAGCATTTATTCAGGTCGCAGCTTCTTGATTATTGAGCACCTGTGATACATAGGTCAGTCTGGCGATAGCAGCTAGAGTGGGTAATATTACTGCGTAAATAGCACAAGGATCATTTGTCTGAGCATGATCCGTAAATTCTGTAGCTCTCTAATGCATCAGTGAAGTTACTGTTGCTTCCTCTGCCATGACAAGTAACGAATGTGATCCCGCGCTCTGACTCATAACGACATGTTGACAAATTTTGGCAACTTTTTACATTAGATATCATCTTGTTAGGTCACGAATGTGTGATTCTCTCCTAATTTTGCGATCTCGTCAGCCAGGTACTGTTCGGATCTTTTAGCTTAGAAAAAGGTTTTATTGCGTCTTTATGAATAATCCATTTCTTTGGCCGGGCTTGTAGTTGGAGTGCCGTTTTCAAGGGATATCCGTCGGCTCCAGTTATTATACCTTAACCGATGGTCAGGGTTCTTGTCATACCTTAGCTGTCACCGTTTTTCGTCCTGACATTTGATCCTGTATTTTGGTTTTTACCAGATCTCAGTGACAAAGCCTTCCAAATCGGATTATGGAGAAAACTCAGTGATGGAACTCGAGCGTTTTCTGTGAGCAGTCCAGTTTTCCTTCGAATTCAGTACTACGAAAATATCAAAACAGACATCGCATTTTTCTGCATATGTAACTGTAAACTTCTGCGTCCCATTATCAGAAGCGTTTATTATTTACACATTCTTTTGAACCTGGATACCAGGGCAGGTCTTTACCCATATTTCTAACTCTATTTGCCTCGTGTTTACGCTATTTAATTAACATGTACAGTTAATGACTGAATGTTAATTCTTTTCACAGCAAATGAAGGAATGCTTCGAAAAGCAGGACATTGAGCAGCTGAAGCAGGTTGCATTATTAATTCCACCTGAAGAGTTCGAGTATCACTTTAAACGCTGTATCGATTCCGGTCTATGGGTTCCTGATGCCAAGAAGGCGGAACAGGAGCAGCCGACGACGTCAGCGGCAACAGATCCTCAAACACCAACGCCTTCAGCGGCTGAAGACAGTACAGGAAAAGAGGAAGCTGAAGACGGTTGTTCGTTACGACAAAGAAAGGGCGCCTCGAACTCACCGGAAAAGTAACCTTTTCCGTCTTTTTCTCGGTTTGACTCTTTTTGAGATGATTTTTTTCTTCCAGTTACTCGTTTCGAAACTATTTATCGTTAAGCAGTAATTACAAAATTAAGCTTTCTTTCAATAATTTTTTGTAATTACTGCAACTGCATGTGTTCATGCTTGTGAAATAAATGCTGTTGCTCTATTGCAATAGTCGAAACTTGTTGATTACTTTGCATCGATGTCGTGCAGTCGTTATGATATACACCTATACATAGCAAAGTTACATACATATATAGCAGTTGTACAAAACACTGGTACAGTCGATACTAATAATGTGAAACGACGATTGCAGCTTAGTACTCGTATAAGTCCATTTCAAACTTTACAATCGTATTTAAAGGTCTGTAAATATTTTTTCCGTTTATATATCGTCCTTGTACGATTTCTTTACCATGTTTCGAAACATACATAAATATTATTTTTGTGGCGTAGAAGTGGATAGTAATGTTTCGGGTTCCGAAATCGCGACTGTTTTCATGTGCGCGTAGTCAACGTGAAAGCGTTACACCAATCAGAAAGAAGTCCTAAGGCTGCCGCCCTGACGAGCCATGGTCCAAAACCCCGGTGCAACAAGTTTGTATTTTTTCTGGCTTGTCCTTTTATATTCTGTCTCTTTGTAGCAAGGGAGACGTAGGGCGCGGTAATGCAGCTACGTTACTCTAAGGTGAGCAGGTACCTACTTGTGAATCAGAGGTGGCCATTGGCATCCACGGGTTGGAGCTCATTTGCTTGCCCATTGAGCAGTGTCAGCCGCTTCCAAGCCATTGGGTTGTTATAATCACCAGTCAGCATTTTATAATAATCCACCAGTGCGTTGTCGGCTGGCCTTTTGGGATCTCAGATAGGCTTTCACAGCTATCATAACAGTTAGAGGCGAACTAGCCCCACCGTATTGCTCCCGGCTGAGCAGTTTCCTACTTCGGTCTTCTGCTCCCGCTGAAAATCCACCACTTCAAGTAAAGATTTCACTCGATGTTTGAACCGTTTTCTCTTTTCTGTACAGTGAACAGCATTGTCACCTTTGTCCTAATCTTAGAAATATGTG